TCTGTTCTCTTCTCATGCATAACGAGTAACTTACTGTGATTACTCCATAGATATGTGTAAAAGAAAAGTAATCACTTTTCAAAATTATTATTGCGTTACCTTACCTTATTATTTCTTTCACTTTTTATTATTGATTTTATGTTATATATTTTCTTATCATTGTTATCAAAAAATGAAATCAGAAATTGTCTTCTTTTCCATTCGAAGAATGTTATCATTGATGTAAAAATAAATGCACTAATAGAATCATATTGAATGTATCAAAAAATTAAAGTGATTGAATACTCTTAAAATTGTCTATTGTTTTGTAATGGTTAGATTATGAAAATGTTCATACGACTTGACTAATATTGAGTAAATTAATTATAATTAATAATTGAAAGTAACAGTTCAATACTAAATTAAACGATACTATTCTAAAAATAATGGTCGATAGATTTCTTGTAGTATTATAATAGTTTATTGAGAACTAAGATATATAAAAATACACGTCACAACAAAAAACAAAAAAGTATAATGATATTTTTTGTATATTTTCAGGAATAAAAGGTTTCTTTTCGAATACCATGTAATGTAAGGTTCGGAATAAATATAATGAAAAAATTTAGTCTTGTACAAAGACCTGACGAGCTTCTCAAGGACGATAATACTTCGCGTAAGCTGCGCATATACCGAAGCCACAAAGAAACACTATGGTACCAATAACTATTCCAGCAATAGCTCCACCCGATACTCCTGACTTTGATTTGTTGTGCTTTGGATAAACCTCGTGAAATTTCACTCTTAGTTGTTGTTGTTATTGTTTTGAGGGTGTGGGTATTCTATTCATTCTACATCCACATTTTCATCCATACCTTCATCGATACTTAAGAATTTCTTACTAGTTGATTGTATCATTGCCAAGATTGTATTATCAATCGATATATATTAATACTTACTTTTGTTTCACTTAATAAATACAGTTCCTATGAAAAGACATTACAGAACAAACCTGATTCTCTTGCTTGCATCATACATTTATGATTGCATAAGATGAATATTTTCTTTGTATTACGTAATTCCGAAGAAAAATTACAAAAATGAATCATAGCAGTGGATAGTTTTGATCTATCGACCTTCGGATTATGAGACCAACGCGCTACCTCTGCGCCACACTGCTGGTATATATTTTCGAATGAGTAGTACAAAATTATAGAATAGTAATTACTCGATATTATACAATATCAACTGTTGATTACCTATGAAAAGCATCAGTTATCTCTTTTAGATATTAAAATTAGTATGCAAATTATTGTTTTGACTCGAAAGAATTAATCAAATAGTAGAAATATACTTGCTCTATAATCTTATGTTATTTAATTTCTATTTTCTTTCTAACAAAAGTATCTTTATCATTATTCTTTTTCGAATTTTCGTTATTTTAGTTCCTGTTTTCAAAGAGAATCATTTGGATAGAATCCAATTTGTAAAGATAGCATTTTGCCTATATCTTTTATAACATCATTAATAATCGAGAATGTTTCTAGTATACTTTTTATTTATTATCGCTATCGGTTTGTAATGATGAACTTTATGTGTGGAGTATAACCTCATCATGTCGAAACTTCTATGTTTTATTGTTATTACAAATATACAGAACAATCAATGAACAAAATGTGGGTGTCGGTATGGGTGTGAGTGAAGATTTTGAATGAGTAGAATACTGACACCCACACCCTACGACAAGGAATTAACTTTGATAAACAGAAAAGCTTAAGAATTGCTAAATATGTTATTACAATAGTGGTTGTTATCAATTTTGCTGTTTATATTTCACAATTAATTAAACTTCATGTTTTTATTGATAAAACTGAAAAACGAAATTGAGTGTGAGTGTGGTTTTGTTTCTTCATTATTCATACCCACATCCTCAAGATGAGTTTATGTTCCTGCAAGTAATAGTTGACTATTATTTTCAAATAATTTTTTTTCATTGTGTACACATCTGTGTTAACGATGAGGTGATATTAACTTATAGCGATCAGTAATAAGAACTAGATATTTGATTAAGAAAAAAAAATCAATTTTCATGTTTTATTTTATAAATACAATTGAAAAAAAAATGAAATAAAAAGAAATATAATATCTTGATTAAAAGAATAAACTACATTTAAATGTTTATATATCAATCTTGGCAATACGACGTACAAGTTCATCGAAATTGAAATGAGTTTTAACTGTTGTTGATGATGATGGTGATGCGTTTGTTATCATGCCTGTTGTTTCTTCGTTATTGATTAAATCAGGTGTTAAAACCATAATACAATGTGCGAACCAATTCTTTGGTTTCACAAGTAAACATCCTTCACGTTGTAACTATAATTATAGATTTATAAGAAATAAATAAAAAAAAGTATATTCAATCAACTTACAAGTACAGCTAAAGCTCGATCCGATGTAATAACAATTGTACGTTTGTTTTTTTCATGATTTTCAGGTCGACGAACTATATCTACTAACATATCATCAGTTGTTTTATATGTTGGTTGAGCACTTGTAACTTTAACGGTATCAATTTGATCTAATTGACGTGTTAAATCATAAATAAGTTCAACATTTGGTATATGCATCTGTTGATTCCATGCTGCAGCTACTTCTCCTATAGCACGTTCAGTTTTTTTACCAGCTCGATTTAAACATAAACGACGAAGAGAATCAACAACAAACATCATATTATTTCCATCAAGATAAACTTGTTCAATATCACGTGGCCAATCTTCTCGTTGATTTATTGTTATATAAGCATTATGAATATCAGCTACTGAAGCTCGTTCTTCTCGATGATGACAACGTTTATCTTTTTTTTCTTGCATTCGAGTTTGTGTTAATTCAATTGAACCATTGCATTCATGAAATGTTGCTAATACTTTTCTTGGATTACCATGTACACCAGCTAAGCGGAGTTTTTTAAGATTTTCAAGATCATCCGAACTGAAATCATGTCGTTTTCTACATGTTTCATTATCTTCTTGTGTTGCCATTGCTGGTGATGTACTTCGATGTTCTTTTCGTTTGAGATGTTTCTCTTGTCGTTCTTGTACAAGTTGTTTAACAACATCGATGTCTCCATTTGATTTTTCTAATAAACGTGCTAAAATTCGTTTATTTTTTATTGGAAAACCTTCAGCTTCAAGTTGAGCAATTTGATTTGCATATTTTGTATCACATTCAGCAAATTTTGCCTTTATTTCAATGATCTATTATTATTATTGACATATTCTATCTACTATCTTTATACTTTAAAACACAAAACTTACCTTGTTAACATCACCTTCATGTTTCTCCAATAATCGAAGTACCCATGGACGATCTACATTAATACCAGACGTAGCTAATTGAGCTAATTGACTTGCATATTTTGTTTTCAATTCTTCTCGTCGTTGACATCGAGATGTACTAGTATCTCGATCTTCATGACAATGTTTTGTTTCAACGTCTTGTATAAATTTGTTAACTTTTTCTAGGTCACCATCAAAACGTTCCATTGTTTTTAATAAACGGAAACGTTTACATGATTGAATTGATGGATGTTCCTGTTGTAATGTTGTTATTGCTGGACCAAAACGTGTTTCAAGTGATTCCCATTTATTACAACGAGCTTCACGTTGACTAAGACGTGCACAAACCTGATCAAGAAATATATATATATATAAGAAATATATTATGCTAAAATATAATTTTTAATTTAGTTTTTTTTACGTTGATATATGAATATCAAACAACCTCTATTCCCCCGCATCAGAGGTATTCGCGGGCTGATTTATATATATTTTATATTAAAAAAAAAGAATTATACCTTATCAAAATCTCCACCATGTCGTTGTAACATGTGTGTTAATTTGTTTTCATTTATGTGTGGAAAACGTTCCTTGAGCATGGTTAATTGTTCAGTATTTTGTTGTTGTTCGTTTGTAGACATGTTTGCTTTGTATAAAGAATAATATGAATAGAGAACAACAGAAAAAGTATCGCTTTATATACTCAATAAATGAGTAATCTTTGTAACTTACGCAATACAGGTGAAATACTATTACTAATTCTCTTCTGAGCCAATCAAATACTTTTGTCGACGTGGCAAACAATTTTTACATTGAAATGCTATCTTATTCAAACAATGATGACTCATTCAGGTAAACATTTTGTACTTACGAAACCTCTATGAGACAAAACATCAGAATTTTCTTATTTTTCTAGAATGAAATTTACTATGATTATGAGTCATCTTTATCAATGATGTAGTTGCAACACTTTGTATCGATTGTATGTGATTCATTCAAATATAATCGACAGAAAACTATTAAATGATAAAAACCTGTTTGAATATTTAAAATACATAAATAAAATAAAGATAAAATAAATTTTTTAGAATAAATATGATCTGTTCTTCAGAAAAACCAAAAACAATACATTTATTCATGATGCGGTAAAATTTTTTATTGAATTGATATTGCAATTTAATCAAACGACAATAAAATGTTCAACAACATCATTATAAGTCGTTGTCGAATTTGAAAAATCTGTTTTTAGTTTGTCCTTTTTTCATATGATATTAAAATATTTTATCAGTATACAAATAATACTTTATTTATATTTTACGCACGACTATATTGTTAAATTAGAAGAATTTTATTTTAAAACTTATTATGTATAATATTAAAACTTGTTTTTTTTTCTCTATTTTTATTTTTTGTAAAGATTAAGTCATTTTAATCAGTTTCGTCCATCACATTTAAGGGTGTGGATGTGGGTATGAGATGAGAGTGTGGGTTTATCCTCCTCAAACATACATATACCCACACCGACACCCGCCCACACCCTTAACGTTTATTTGTTGTAGTTTTTTAATCAAAGTTATTAAGTTAAATTCAGTTCTCAAGAAAAAAAAATCCCAGAAGACTTTGCATTATTCTTTTATTCAATACAAAAAACTTTTTTTCTTTATTTCAAAATCAAAATTTTATTCACAAAATTATTTTAAATTTTTGAATTCGATCATTTTCCGAATCAGCAACATAAAGATTTTCTTCACTATCGAATGATAAACCCATGGGATAATTCAATTGATTTGATTGATTTCCATAACCATTTCCACCGACAATAACTTCACCTTCTTCTTCTCCTTCACACCAACGCATTACTCGATGATTATAACGATCTGCCACATAGATTTGACCCATATGATCAACAATCACCCCTTCAGGATGATTTAGTTGTTTGAGACTATTTCCTTGACCATTTCCTCCAGCCACAATCATTCCTTCTTTTGCATCTTTTTTCCATTTCATCACACGATGATTGTTCCAATCTGATATATAGAGGGAATGATATTCATCAATAAAAATAAAAGTAGGTTTATTAAGTTGATTAAGATGATTTCCTTGACCATTTCCACCTGCAACTAATTCACCTATTTCATCTCCTTGTTTCCATCGTCTTACTTCATGATTGTGAATATCAGCAATATAAATAAATCCATTTTCATCGATTGCGAGACCAAAAGGATAAGTATTTCGATTAGTAATTTGTTGATTTGTTTGATTTTTATAAAAATATCGAATTACTCGTTGGTTAAAAAATTCCGAAATAATAAAACAATTGTTTTTTTTATCAAAAATTATATTTGTTGGACCATCCAATTGATTATTTTGATTTTCTTTTCCATTTTCGCCTGCAATGATTTGACCAGTATTTGAATTCAATTCCCATTTAACAATACGATTATTCCAACAATCAGCAATATAAATTGATTTATCATTATCAATAAACATCCCATAAGGACTAGAGAGTTGATTTAATTCCTGTCCATTTCTATTTCCATTTCCTCCAGCAACAGTAATTCCAAATTGTTGATATTTATTCTTTTTTGTTTGATCTTCTTCTAAAATAAAAGATTTTCTTTTTATTCAAGATCTTTTTCATTATTTTTAAATCAAAGAAGGGCGCAAATGAGAAGAAATATTTGTATGACCAATAATTTTATAAATTCTCAGAAAATTTGATTTTCATGAAAAAAAGACGAAATAAAAATAAATAATTAAGAAAATGATTTGAAATTTCTATAATATAGATAAATGTTTCGAATAATTTCTATAGGTGAAATGATGATATTATTTGTGAAAGAGATTTTTTGTTAAATAATTAATCATAATATAGAGGAAGATTTGAAAATATTTTCCTATGATCAAAAATAAAATAAATCTAATTGATTGATTAACAATCCTTTAAATACTTGTTTTCGATTGTGAAAAAATATTTATTTTAATTAGAAAATAAAAAATTTCTTCTTATTCTCTTTCTCGTAGAGAAGAGTCCAATAAACATAAATTGTTTGCTTGACTGTGTCTCCGCAGGGTCAAAAAAACATCGAAAATTGTTTTTTCGAAAAAGATATTTGTAGAGGTTTTTCGATACTAAGAGTTCGAATCTGAGGTCTGGTGGGTGATCACGATGAAGGAGGAGGGTAAAGAGGGTGCATAGATAAAAAAAACATCGAAAACCTATTTTCCACGATTTTCAGTTGTTTTTTCAGTAAATGTGAAGAGGATGCATTTTGATGAGAAACACCTAAGCTAGTCCTCGAACGAGCATTACTTGTAAATTAATCTTCAAAAAATATTGTAAATGAAAAACGTTGTTACTCTTCATGAAAATTTTTATTCTGAATATTTATTTAAGAATATTCTCAATGGGAAAAATAATTCTAAAACGATGGGTGAAATTTCTTTTCAATGCTATATTAAGTCGTATAAAAATAGTAAAGATCACATTATGAATATTGTTTTAAGAGAAATTGTTACTTAATTGATAAAAATAATTGATGAGAAAGTTCTATCTCAATCTGAAAGTCGATGAAACTATTCTTTAGACAGAATTACTGTTACTGTTATTTAATGAAGCATACCTTGTTTTATTTGAGATTGAGTTGGCATTTTATATAGTATTGTTATTGGATTCTTTGGTACAATCACTGTACTAATTGTAGAATAATTTGATTGATAGAAATCTTAATAAAAAGAAAATGTAATGATTTTATTTGACAATAATACAAAAAAAAAATAAATAATTTAGATTAGAAGAACTATTGTTTTAGTTTTTGAAATAATTTAATGTAGGAATATTAGGGGTTGAAATCAGCTAGAAACAGGGTTATTAGATGATACACTTGAAAATCCGGAGAGATTTTTAAGGATTATTTTAATTCCTTAAAGTTCAGTTTTTCAACAGAAGTATCAATAGTCTTAATATAAATCTCTACAAAATAAATTTTAATGAAAATATGTCAAAAGATAGTTAACTTAACATAATAATAAATCATAAACTATACACTTACATATTAAATAATACGTTGTTTTTTAGAAAATATCCGAAAACTGGAAAATCCAGAAAAACTTTCAAAATCTGGAGGATCTGGCTAACCTGACTAGAATTGATTTATCGTTTTCACAGTTTATTTCAACAAGATCATGGGGGTGTGACGAATTTCATCCATCATCATCTCTTCTATATTCTTGTATGTACATACACATCGGTCATTTCTCTTTCTTTGTTTCCGTGTTCAATTTCTTTCGTGACCGTTTCGCCTCATTGGCGATATATAATCAGTTATTGTTCTTTCTTCTCTCTTCGTTTTCTTATCCGTTCATCATTATTTTTATATTCATTCTTAAAATAAAATATTTTCGAAACAGATTTAATTTTCGTCATTATTATTTAAGAAAAGATTAACAAATTGAACATATTCAATGGTTAGTTACGAGAACAATCAACACTTTTTAAAGAATTCTAAATAAATAATTCTTGTCAATATTTAGCCTGAACCAGAGAGTAAAAACAGTATTAAACAATCTACTCGTCCACAAACAGGATCGTAAGTATTATTTAATTTATTTATTCGAACTATATCTATGATTTTAGATCTTTATTTCACCGAAAAACAATATTGATATTAATTATCACTGCTGTTCTTAGCCTAATAACAATTATTGGTATTACAATAATTTCTATATACATTAAAAAGGCCGAAACATTAATTAATAAAACTACAACTACAACCGATGCGTCGACAACAGTAAATGGTAGAGCTTTTTTTTTATAAAAGAAAACATAGATGCTGACATATTTCTGGGGTCCAAATGTAGTCGTCCAAAAAAATTATTGATTAAATACAGAAAAAATCTATTACAGAATGAGAAGTACTATTTCCAAAAACAGAATAATAATACTCAGCACTCAGAAATGATATTCATAAAACAGAGCAATTATGTTCTGTCTTTCGGAATTTTCAGATTTGAATATTTTAGAATATTCACTCACACTCTTTATTTAATAAAAAATAAACCAACAAAATCTTTTGTATCATTTTTATTTTTCTTCCTTTTCTTTTCAAATGAAATATTTCTTAGTTTATTTTAAAAATTAAACTATCTTTCTATAAAAATGCATTTTCTTCAAAGTTTCCATTCCAAAAAATAGAACTTCTAAATACTTTATTCTTCTGAGAATGATGTCATTGTATTTTCCAAATAAAATACTTCAAATGATTTGTTTTTCGTCAACAAATTGTTATCAAAATTGAATAAAAAAATAAATTAAATTTGTTTTTTTCATGTAACATATTTATGAACATTTCATTCAAAATTAATCTTTTCTTTTTCTTCGATTAAAAATAAATTTTCTTCTTTTCATCAAAATCTTTTTTTTCGTCATTTTCTAGAACCAAAATTTAACAAATGGAAACAAAATGCCATTACTGTGGCTGGTGGAAATGAACAAGGGAAAAAATCAAATCAACTCGATGACCCTACTGGAATCTTTATTGATAAAAACAAAAATATTTTCATTGCTGATTTTAATAATCATCGTATTGTTGAATGGAAATATAATGCAAAGGAAGGACAAATCATTGCAGGTGGGAATGACGCAGGAAATCGAATGGATCAATTGCATTATTCAACAGATGTAATTGTTGATCAACAAAATCATTCGATCATCATTGCTGATCGTAATAACAGACGAGTAATTCAATGGTTGAATCAAAAGCAACAAATTCTCATTGACAATATTGACTGTTTTGGTTTAGCAATAGATAAAAATGGATTTCTTTATGTTTCTGATTGGCTGAAGAATGAAGTGAGACGATGGAAAATGGGTGAATACAATGAAGGAATTGTAATGGCAGGTGGAAATGGAAAAGGAAATCAACTTAATCAACTTAATTTTCCTGGTTTTATCTGTGTTGATGAAGATCAATCTGTTTATGTATCAGATAATAACAATCATCGTGTGATGAAATGGAGAAGAGATGCAAAAGAAGGAATAATTGTGGCTGGCGGAAATGATGAAGGAGGAAATCTCAATCAATTGTATTATCCTGAAGGAGTAATTGTTGATGATTTAGGTCAAATCTATGTGGCAGATGCTATGAATGATCGAATAATGCGTTGGTATGAAGAAAAAAAAGAAGGTGAAATTGTTGTTGGTGGAAATGGTTATGGAAATCAGTCAAATCAATTGTTTGATCCCATGGGCTTATCATTCGATAATGAAGAAAATCTTTATGTTGCTGATTCGGGAAATGATCGAATTCAAAAATTTGAAATAATTTTGTGAATAAACTTTTGATATTGAAATAAAGAAAAAAAGTTTTTTGTATTGAATAAAAGAACGATGCAAAGTCTTCTGGGATTTTTTTTCTTGAAAATTGAATTTAATTTGATAATTTTGATTAAAAAAGACAAACAAATGAATGTTAAATTCTTCATCTTTTGCCAAATTTTGTAGAAGATAAAAAAAAAGAAAATATTTTGTACTTTGAATTAAATTAAATGCAAACTATTCGAGAAGAAGATTTTGTGTCTGATAAAATTCTATTACAATATTCTTAGCTTTTTGATTTGATAAAATTTGAGAATTGTTTGAAATGAACAGAAAAGGAATCTTCTCATGATAACTTAAAAATGAAAATTGAATTCAAAATGAATTTTATTGGAAAAACAAATATTAAAAAGATTTTTATATAGATAAAAACAAAGAAAACTTACGAAGGAAAAATGCACCAAGAAATCCAAATAAAATAAAACTTTTGAAATGATACTTTTTAATTTCAAAGAATTTTGGTGAACGAATTTTTTCATTTGATTTCTCTTAATTAAAGTTTAAAAAGATTTGTTATATTTTTTCATAAAAGTTTAAATAAATATTTAATAATTGTAATGTCATATTTAATTCAATTCCTTCAAATCAATGAAGTTTTCTTGTGAAAAGATTTTCGTTTTGTTCTTGTTCTTTTTATTCAAATTTGATGAAAATAAAAACCATTTAAAGACATTTTTATTACTTAGTCCATATTGACAATTCGAAGTAGAATTTCGTAAGAAAAACGTCTCATCATAATCATTCGGAACTCAGTCTTTTCATTTTTCTCTAACGATATAATATTTATAGAAAAGTTTTGATGGTCTTGCTATTTTTGGTCTCTGTTGAGCAAGGATTAATAATGTGAAATAGTCTGTTATTTTTTCAGATTGATTGTATCATAAAATGAACAGAATCTATAATAATTATAATGGAGTATACATTTGGTTCGATTCTCTTACTAACAGTCACAGTGATATCGTTGAGACTGAATAATGTTATAACGAGTTAATTGATCAGGTTATTTATTTGCCTCTCACCATAACATTGTAAATTTATGATATTATAATCAATAATGAATAGAATGTTTTGGCTTTCATAATACTTTTTTGTTATTCTATCAAATACAAAGATATTTCATGTTAAAAAAACTTTACTGTTTATTAAAATTGTAGGTAGTGACGCAAATGAGCATAATTATAACAGATGTTATTTTATGTTTATCGTCACTGTATGTCTATATATAAAACACAGTTCCAATAGTAAATAGCTGATTTTGAACAATATCATATTTTAGAATTAATATATCTGCTATAAAATATCACTAAATTTTAATCAAAGAAACACATGATATAAATCAAAGAAACACATGATATAAATCAAAGAGATTCTCCTGAATAAGATCGAAAGTAAAAATGCCGAAAAAATATGAGATAGACACATTATTAAAGGGGGAACAACTGATTATTATGATTCCAATGATTCTACTATATGGAATCAGATGTATTTTCCTTTCCTAAAATTATCTGTTCTTTGCTAATATTTTGATGATTCCGACTGATTCTAAAAGACACATAGTCTTTTGATCAAATTCAAGTTAACCATCTTGAGGATGTGGATATGGGAGTGGCTAAATATAGATGAATGTCTGTATTTACACCCATCCTCAAACGTCTTTCTCTATTTTTCCCCTTAAGTTGTTTCGAGCATCCAAAGTCTTACCATTGTCATATTTCGACTTTTTTTCCTTCGACATTTTTACTTTCGATCTTAGTTGGGAGAATCTAATATTCTGCATCAACAGGATATGGGTGTTGCTGTGAATATTGAAAGTTATATACTCCCACACTCAAGATTTTACTAATAGAAGCAATAATCGAAATATGTTAATGAACTGATTCACATTTATTATTATACTGATAAGTTGTTCATCTTCAAAAATTCTAAGATAAATAAATGCATTGTTTTTCAATGAATTGACAATTATTGAGAAAAGAAAAGAAATTCACCCGATCAGAAAAAATAATTAATTCATATTTTATTATATTGTTTGCCTGGTGAGCACTAAACTGATGATGCTAACGAATTCAACTTGAAAATACTGTTTTTTTTTGAGAATAAGATAAAATATTTTTATAAAATCATTTGCCTTATTTGCTTTGAATGAAAAATATTTATTGATTTGTTAAATATTCGTTGAATTCAGAAATAAATTCTAAATTTATTTTTTTTCATTTATCAATAAAATAGAATAATCATTCAATTTATCTTCACCATTTTATTATTAATTAAAATTCTTTAATAAAATCTTTCGAAAAGAATTTTTATTTTATTTTTTAAAATTATTCATAAACTTTCTTATTGATCAAAAAAAAGATTTATTAAACAAATGAAATTTCGAATTTGTTTTTTCTTTTCAGTTTTGATTTTTTAATCTTGAGAGCGTGGGTTTATCTTCTTCAAACATACCTACACCCACACCCAGCAAGATAAAATATTATATATCATAGCTTTGAGTATTTATTTATCGTTCTTCTTTATCTATTATAATTTATTTGTTAAAATTTTATGCCTTCATTCTGATATTAGTCATCATAATTCTGTATTGTGAATCAATCTTTTTATTAGAGATTATAAAATACATAAATCGTTGGATGGTTCAACACATATATACGCGTAATTGTAGTGTAACACGAAAAATATGTCTTTTCATTATCGTACGAACGAAAGCAGTGAAGGAAGTCTTATTATATATAATTAAGCAGCTAAAACTAAACAAAATAAACCTACGAATACAAGCTTCTACGTTCGCGCACATGTATATGCTCCGTTGCGAATAATTTCTTCTTACATATATTTTTTCTTTATCTACCTTTATATTATAATTAAAGGCAAAATGCATTGACGCTTGTCAATAAAAACACAACCTATACATGCATGTGTTATAATACGGACGTTATTTAGGCTTAGTCATCACTGTATTATAAGAAAAAAACAAAAAAAACGCCCTTTTTTCATAATGTACTTTTTTACCTAATTACTTACTATGTACTTTTATTCATTTTTCACTTCAATCATCATTTAATATCCTCTAACGGTAATAATTACCATGTAAAAAAAATTTAAGTAGCTGCTTTATTTGACTGATAATATAAATATAATATTTTATTACATTTTATCATTTTCCTACAAAGTAAGAAAAATAATGATTTTGTTTTGTGTTACTCTGTTATAGATTATCGATGTTCATTTCAAAAGTAAAGAAATATGAACAACTATCCACAACAACGAACAATATCAAATAGAAATGTTCCCATACATAATGTGATGGAAACATTAATTCCATTTAATGATGAACAAATAAATTATCGGCAACCTAAATTTAACAGAAATGTTCATATACAAACGGAATTAACTGCTATGAAACTCGATAATGAAGCAGAAAATTATCGAAGACACAAATGAACTAAAAATGTTGAGATTCAAGCTGCATTTACAGATATTACCTTGGATGATAATGTAACGAACGAACGTCAACAGGCAAGAAATTCAAGAGCCAAGGTCAAGAATGATTCAGCGCATAAGTTAGATGGAGCAGATGAAAGACAAACAATGAGATTAGAAGAAGATTCTAATATAGACAGAAATAGATCGAATCAACAAGATAGACGAAATACAAAAAATGTTAATAAAGATATCATTAAAAGTGATGGCACAGAACTAAGTCCTATTCTAGGATATTCCGAAGAACCTCTACTACCACTTGCACAAGCATGTGCTCCATTGAATGATATCTTTCATAATTTATCATTCTATGTTCAATTAACATTAAAAGAAACTCCTGAACAACCACCTGATGGATTATCGGTTGATGAAAGTGCTGCAATTCGTCTCTATACAATTGAATGGGATAAACCTCATCGAAGTCTTTATTCAACACTCAATTTTAATCTTAAAAATAATGATCGGCAAGCACTTCTACCTTTTCACAGGTATCTCAAATTATTCTTAACTGCTCTTGTTAAATTACCATGTGTTCCACCATTAAATGTTTGGCGTGGAGTAACTAAAAATTTAAGCGAAGAACTTCCACCTGGTAGTGCTATGACATGGTGGGTATTTTCATCATGTACAACTGAAATGACTGTACTGGAAAATAATATGTATTTGGAACAAGAAGGTGATCGAACACTTTCTTCTGTTGAAGCTATCAATGGTCGAACAGTAAGAGCGCATTCATATTTCGTTACTGAAGATGAAATTGTTCTTATGTCAGGTACTCATATGATAGTTCAATCACAACTTGAGGGTGTGTGTGGGTGTGGTTGTCTGTGCTGTTATCTTACACTCACACCCACACCCATATTCAACTTATCTTTTTTTATTTTCACTTTTTTTTACACATTATAGAATTGTTTTTCAATTTGCGTTTATTTATTTATATTTTTTTCTTTTTAAAATCTTTAATAAAGGTCTATAGTTTTGATTCAATCTTGCTTATGAAATTTAAGATGAAATATCCATATGTGGATGTAGTTGTTCATGTGACTATCTAACGTTCATCACCCACATCTACATTTATAACAAGTTACAACTTTAGTACTATGGATTTGTTAAAAGTCGGAATTTATTAAATAAAAGATTTGTTATAATAAGCAACAAAAGGTAGAATGAAATAAATTTAATTTAAGTTGTAACAATAAAATCATGTCGTTTGAAATCATTGAACCACGTTTGTCGATGATATTCATCTGGTAATAACCGATAATTTTGTTGATCATCCATTTGAATATAGCCAACCAGTACTGTAGTTTTCACATCTGTACCTGTCCCATTCAACACCTTACATGCGCGAGGTGTTGTGTTCGCTTGATTCTCAGCACTTACAAAGAGACAGAAATGACAACCAAAATTTCTAAATGATTTATCTTTTGATAATAGATCTTTTTCTATCTGTTCTTTAACATCGACCATAAAGTCGTAAAGTAAACGTAATTTCTGTGGCTTTTGGCTATAGACGCCTATACGTGGATCAGGCGTCATCCAAACAAGACTAAAACCATTTTTCTCATAAGCATTTACATTCAATGGAATGCTTTGCAAATTTGTCGCAGTTGTGACTAGTTTTTGTTTATACCCGTTATATTTTTGTAAAGTTTTCTGATATTTAGTGCGAACACTATTGACATAAGCATCGTGAAGCTATGAGAAAAAGTTGTAAAATAGATAAAGAAATATCGTATGTTTTATATCAAACATTTCATTAGGAAGCTCAATGTCCAAGTGGATAAGTCGCAAAGACTCCTTGAGAAGGAGTAAAATATTTTTTTCTGTGAAGTCGTCAAGTAATTTCACTTTCTTTTACTTTACAGTATCTACTAGAACTTACCTCTTTTTTCGCCTCGTGACAATATTCTTCCATTGGAACACACAAATGACAATGCCAGGGGGTGCCATGTTCTTGATACCTAGTGCGAGAAATGCAACGATAGTAGACTTTCAATAAAGTTATGCTTACCAGTCACCGCGATGAAATGATAAAATCTAATAAGAAAACATACAGTCATTCAAAACATTTTTTTGCAACAATTAAATAACTTTTAAGATAACTGATATAGTAATTAGAGGTCGAACAGTTCAGTTTAGTTCTAAGAACTGAACTTTCGAAGTCCTGAATCACAACTTTTACTTCAAAAAACATTTCTTACAGATATTTCTGGTAGACCTTTGCAAACTATATCAAAAGATAAAGAATTTTTTCACATATATGAAATTTTTTCAGCATCGTATTTAGACAAATGAGCAGGTGCTTCTCTTTTAAGGGTTGTTGAAACAAAAAAAAATATCAATGATCTCACTGGGTTTTTTCCCAACCTCAGCTTATTAAAAAATTCGGTTTTTGAAAACGTAGCAGAAACTATCATGCTTGCTTTTCAAAAGCAAGATATTCAATAATATATTGCCCACGCAAGCTTTCGCTTAAAGTGAATTTAATAATACGTACAGCTTGTTGGTCATATTTTGGCCTGTTTTTTAAAAACTTGGTCACAAGAAGCATTGTTTCGTCGATTTCATTTGCTTTTGTATTCTTGTCGACATTTCCTTCTGTTTGTCGTACAATAAAATGTGGTCGTGGACTGAATTTATCGAAGACTAATTCAATCAAATCTCCAGTATTCGGAGTGCCACCTTCTGGATGTGGAATTCGAACGTAAGTATTCTGGCGAGAAGTAGCCTGAAATAGAAAAAAACGTTAGATAAAAGTAATGATATAAACTGAGATTGAAAAAGAAATCTTACCATATATTTTCTATATTCAAAGATTAGAAATTTTATACTGAAGGGAGTTTTGCTTTTTTTAATGAAGAAGTCTTCACGATGCTTATTTTAATATCTTTTTCCTTTTGTGGGTTTTTTCCCATTGTTATTTGATGTAGGCGACCATATGTTGTTTGTTCTGTCGTTTCTATGTCTTTTTATGCGTGTTAATTTTACAGTTGAAACTCGTGTAAATACTTTTGAATGATAACGCACTTGAATCGTACTTTGTTTGCACCCTCAAGATTATTCTTTCTTAATTAATGCAGATTTTGTTTCAAATAGCTGAATATCTAATAAAAAAAAGTATAGATTTACATTCCCAAAGTAGAAAGAAAAGAAAAGTCTTTTATATATGATTGTCATAGATTATATCTAGAACAACTTTACTTCATGTTCTGTAATATTTGTTTTGATATTTACGAAAAATGATTAATAAGATATAGTAAAAAGGATGTATACTTTATGTTTTGAAATTTTCATAATTCATATGTATCAGTATGAGAGAAGAAAAAATATGTTAAATATTTATTTATTTTTCTACCTATTTTTTTTAATACGTTGGGTTTTTTCCCAGTTCATAAAGGTAGAAAAAAATGACGACATGCGACAAACAGAAAGGAATGAAAAGGCATGCGCTTAATTAGTTTTAACATCAAATATAAATCTCGTCTTTTGAAGGTGTGAGTGTGAATCAAGATGAGGATGTAAATATTTTAAGCATCTCTCACCCACACCCTAAAAATGTAACAAGGAAATAGGAATTATAAGCACAATGTGATAAGAAAATGCGATCATAATATTTTCATACAATGAATACACTACTATTGAGAATAAAACAAATCAGTTAATCAAATTAATCGAGTGAGATTTTGATCGTTGAGTTGATATTTAATATTGTTTCTTTATTTAGATGTATTTTAATTAACAAACAAGAATAACAACTTCATCATGATAAGAAAGGATTTTAAGAAACGTCTTTTTATGTTGAGAATTTAACCTTTTGTTCTTGTATTTTCCTGGACTTCAATACAACTCAATTTATTTAAAAAAAACGTAAAATAAATTCATCAAGTACTTTGAAATCGATATCAGACGAACCTATAAGATCGAAATAAGTCATTAATGGACAAAAACTAACAATAAATTCAATATATGATAATATTTTCACTTCATACACCATTACTTTTATGATTTTATTATTACTAGTATTGAACAAATTGATGGATAAATCAACAGAGATCCAATGATTGCCAAGCTCAGTTAATAAGTTAATATAAGTCCTATCAGTTAAAAATATGACTTCAGTTATCTAAGTCCAAATCTTGTCGTGAATGGCTTAAATCTTCAAGAGTGTGGGTCGGTTAAGAGATGATAGACACCGCACCCACACTTTTACCCCACGCCATCAGCCACACCCACAATGAACGATCAACAAGCGAAAACAGAGGGGATACTTGATCTCTTACAGTTTCTTGTCTGACACTAAGAGAACAAAGTTTTTTTTTCAAATTACTTCTTGAATATAGTGAGAACCATCGATGAAACTCGCCGTATCGAGTATTGCGAATTCATTGGAGTAAGAAGTATCTTGAAGGATCAAGGAAAATTACGTTGCGCAGTCACTAGGTTCTGCGATTCCGTCGTAATAATAACGACGAACTTCCATCCAAGTACGCCATTTAAACCACCACCAACTCGACGGCAGTAATGCAGGATCGAAGTTTATTTTCCGAACCATGACACCAGTTACAACTACACCCTCATGAGGTTTTATAAAATTTCCTTCACGTGCGCTAAGTAAGAATTCAAGATCTTCGTTATTTGGAAAGTTTGGATCGATATCACCTTGCACACCAATCGCGAGTGATTCGCGCTTTTTTACAGGCTGCAATCTTCTAACATCGACTCGCACCTCCAGTATAAACTGAAAGTAAAAGCCTTCGTACTTAACTACGCGAGCGTACCTCGGGTGCGAAGAATAATGAATACTAGGAGAAAGGTACAGCGCTGGGAATCCATGTTGACATGTACGAACCCGAAATCCGTTTTCAATAATCTTATGAACCTTTTGTGAATGTGTACCATGATACAGCGTGTGCCAATTTGGGCCCCAATCCGGAAGAGATGTGGCATCTACCTGTAAGCTAAGGCGAAACCAAGTGCTTGGAGAAAAGTAAGGAAATCGCTCCGGTGAGGACTCTAGTCGGCCATTCCAATATGTGTGCACCGTTGCCCTGTTAATTTTTGTGCAGTTCTTTGTACAGTACCCACGATTGAATCTTTCATTCCAGCGTATACGTTTTACGTGCACAAGCGTTACATGATCAATCTCTTCACATGTAACAGGCACGCAACAGCATAACTCAACTTGACATTCTAAAATTTAGAATAAATCGTACTGATACGTCTTTTCTGTTAAACAGGAGTTATACAATGTTGATGCGCTATTGTAAGTCTTTCAGTGAGGACAATACTCATGCGTTCTAGATATCATGTCGATCAGAAACTAAAACTACAAGAGAAAGAAATCGAAGATGAGGATGACTATGTGGCATATGATCTACTTTCGGCTGATTTGTTAACTCTCACGAACATTTTTGATTGTGGTATTGCTTATTTTCTATTGTTCTTCTGAAAAACTTTGTTAGCGTGTCTATCAAACTTAAATCATTTTTTGCGAGCAAGTATCCGTGTACAACTGTCCTAAATCCGGCTCTAAGACTATTTTCCATTGCACAGAAGTTTGATTCAATTTGATATTTTTGAAGAACCACAGTTGAAAACTATACATATTCAATATATTTAGTTTTTAATTTGTTACGCATGCAAAAGTGGTTCTCAGTTCTTTTGCCAGTTTTAAGATATTTGTTTCACGTTTCAGATTCCGATTTCAAGCAAATGAGAAAAACCAGTTTCGGTTCGAATAGCGGTTCCATTTTTTTGGAACCGCAGTACTCTTATTCACTCTCATGTTAACAAAATACACATGAGAAGATAGAAATGACTATGTTGATCAATAAATATCAAAAATTTTTAGGGTGCGAATGAATGAGCGAAAAGAAGACCCACACATACATCTTGGGTTATACATTCAAGCGAATTATGTCTATTAACTCCAAAAATCATCTTTTTTTTCTGTCTCCTTACCTGGGACAGTCGACGTTGGCGTTTTCTCATCCATGATATGTTTCGTCGGCTGATGGAAATCTAGAAGAATGAATTTGGTTGGAGGATGGGTGTGGACGTAGCGGGTGGGAGATAAACAAAATACTCATATCCTTTGTCTCTCTATAGATTTTAAATCATCTTCCTCAATCGTTCTTTAAAAGCCCAGAAAATGAAAAAGAGATATGAGTGTGTATGGGAAATTAATTTTACCTTCTCCCATCATGAACTACTCAGGTCGCACGATATCCGATGAAAACTCTTCTGATCATATTTTCTCATACCTAAACTCAGGGTAGATCCATCTATCCTCCGGTTTGATGCAAGCCTAATTGTTAAAGTTTCAGTGCGTTTCGTTATTCTTATCCTAGAATACGACTGAAATAAAAGCGTTTTGTCTACACTACTCATGCATATCGGCAGATTTTCTTGTTTTATTTTAGAACAGAAGAAAAAATGCTGAAACCTTAACATTATATTATGATCGGTAAGGCCTATCTAAGTGCGAAGTTTACTTTAGAGAATGAAAGTGCATCGTTTGTTGCTTTTGTGAGATAACTATAAAACGAATAAGGCGTGCTCTTCATAAGATAAGAAAAGAAAATCTTTTTTGTCTTTTTGTTTTACCCTCTTTTTCTCATTTAAATCGGTAAAAATATAAGTAAGTGGATATAAACCTGAGGTTCATTTATTTCTCACACCCACCCTTTTTACAAGAATAAAAGTCCTCTTCTCGTAAAAAGTTATATGTGTCTTGTTATCATGTTCTGTTCAACAACAAATTAAAAAAAGGTAGTTCTACTATTTTCATTTGTGATAATATTATTTTATTGAAATTTAATTAGCAGAACAAAATTATAGGTTTCTATCTATTACAGTAGAGTTAAGCAGTAAGAGTCATTAAAAGAACAAAAAATCATTTGTTCACCAGGTATAGTTGCCATACGTTGGATTATTGATAACTTGAATTGGTTGTTTGGAAGCAGTAATATATGCTTGTACATCGGCTGGGAGTAATAGACGCTTACTAGCAAGTGCATTGGCTGCTGCAGCTACAGCTGCTTCATATTGACTTCGAGTACTGTAACGTTCAGTTAACGACAAACGGCTATCTCCTTTAGCATTTCGTGTCGTTTTGTCAAGTGCAAAGGGTACTGTTGAGCCAGCTGCTTCACACCCATAATTTCCACCATAGGCTGCACTACGTAGATTCCATCCCGTATGTGTCGCAACTGGTACAGTCACAGGAGGAAGACGTATTCCAGCCAGTTCATTGCCATCTATGTCAAGCTTTGATACGAAAGATGGATAATATACGCCTATTGACTTAGGCGGAGTGATACTGATGATACCTTTGCTAAAATCAGGTCCAAAATCAAAACGATCACGAACTGTAACTAGACCTGTATATAAAACATTAGAAATTGTTGGCCAATTTAACAAAGTTTGCGAAACAACACCAATACCAAGAGGAGAATTATTTGTAATATTGGAGAACACTGCAGTTCGGTCGGCATGGCGAGGAACCATACTAGCAGGTGGTTCACTGCCATCAATCCATTGATCGAGTGCAATATAAAGAGCTCGAAGTGCAGGATTTGCATCAACTACATTACCAAATTGTTGACAGGTTCTAGGAGAATTAGCAGACGATGCAAAACCATGTTGAGTACCAGAAATTAAGTAGTTTCGAACATTCGATGGATCAGTAATGTCATTACCTGCAAGATCAGAATGTACCAATGAACCGGCTTTCACCCAATATTCATTTGATGAAATGACATTCATAATCTTTGGACATGTATTCGTTTTTGAACATTGTATGTTACGACCATCAGTTTTGTGTGTACCGAAGTCAGTGAGAGTTGTATAGGAAAATGGAAATGGTGCTTCTGGATACAAGTGATTCTGTCGATTACGCTCGGTGCGTCCTGATTGTGCAAAGCGATAATTTAAACCAATACCATTACCTGCTCCTATCCAATTAAAAACGCCATCAAATACTTGTTCTCTCTCTAAATTCTCATTGAAACCCAACCAAATGAAGTCGTTCATATAACGTGCTGGTTGAGACAGACTCCAAGATAATGCTCGAGTGATATCACCAGCCAATGGATTATCGACTCTTGAACTACGTAAAAAAGACACGAAATCTCGAGTCGCAGCAAAACCAATACCGGCTACATAAGGATCTTTGGCTGTATAGACTAGTTCATAGATTGAACTTTGTTTGAATGTTGTGTTGAGAGGCAAAAGTGAAATAGTATTATCACTGGTTCACATCCAGTCTGTTGATGAAATAGTTTTTGGTCGATCAGTCAGATGATCTTTTACTGTTAACTTTGCTTTGGTCGTATCAGTACTGTTGGTGGAATATGAAGTTATATAAGATGTAGTTGTTGGATTATCAAAGACAATATATTCGTAACCAGGACCAGTAATTGAACAACCATCGGGATTGGTTGCATTTGGCAAATAGATTCGTAATAGATCTGGATTACCAGTCGGCGAAACGCTTGGATCCCAACCACACCAAGCAATAGTGTAGCCTTGATTCATCAGAAAAGCTTGACCGGCATCGCTAGCATTAGTCGGATTGTTACCTCCTGAGGATTGATCGAATTGGCCGAACAATTTGGTACCACGATTATTAACTTCAAAGAATAGTTTATGATTACCATTGGTCAGATCTATTGGTTTTAGAATATAGAAATCCATTGAATACTCCACCATCCCAACCTTATTACGTGGAGCAAGTTTAAGATCTGTAATTATGCTATTATGTTTATCGTAAGGATCCAATTGTCCATAAGCAATACCCCTAAGTTTTTCATATGCGCCTACAGTGCCAAAAGTCATCCCTTCAAATGTCGGATTTTCACTAGGTGCAATTGTATTCGTTGATGGGTTAATAACGATTCTTGTGATACCAGTCGATACAGGTTTAGCTGATGTTGATTTAGTCACAGCTGGTAATCTATCAGTCTCTGCAAAAAAAATATCTTGCATATAACGAGGGTGTGGTGAGTGCGGGTACTATTCTTTTCACTCTCGCTCAAACTCTCATCCATCCCTCACTTGTTGAATATATGTCCACACGCGTTTCAGGTTGTTTAAGAAGGGGAAATGAACCATACCCCGTACGAACACCACTGTCAAAAACACCTGTCAGATCATTAATTTGTGGTACATTCGGACCAGTCACTAAACATATAGTGAAAAGATAAAGAAAAATGTATTAAAAAGAAAAGAAACTGACATTGTCTTGACTGGAAATAATATGTTACATTGATACGACGGATTGGTCTGACACCAGTTCTAGTTAGACTAGCATAACCAGATGCAATAAGCTCAGCAACTGAGAATAGACGATTATGGACATTGATTAATGGCGGTAATATGCATACTGAAGAAAAATTTTATAATCCGTAATTTGAACCAATATCAATACTCACCTCCACCTTTTAGCGAATAGATAATTGTTTGTTGACTACGTCGATCAAAATAAATATTACTCCATGGCATGATATTGACGAGTGAATCAAATTTGCGAAAATGATGACGTTTATAACAAGCAGTTGGAAATCGAAAACGTTTAAATGGTTGCCGACTACCATTGCGAGTAGGTTTACGAATATATATATTCATGTAACCGATGTTTTTAGGTCCTTTAGACTTCTAATTAATTCAAATAAGACGATGTATTCTTTCGTAAATCAACAAAAAGATGCTACTTACATGTCGTGTATATGATTTTAACTGAAACATTTCCTTCTCTTGACTATCATTAATCATCATGAATTTATTGTGATTATAGTAGCCATAATATGCAACTACGATACCGATAGTAATGCATAGCATCAACAAGACCACAATGAAGAGATTGCGTGTTCTGTACATATTTAAATAAAATCATGCTAATTACTCTTAATTATAGTATTAAATACATACTTTGGCAGCAATATTTTTGCATATTCTTCTCTTTCCATTAGTACTTGTTGTTGGTCGTGTTGCATCGTCGTGTCTTCTGGTAGTGCGTCATACTTGCACAAATAATCGGATTTCATTTTATCCGTCAATGTTTTCTCGTGATACAAACACAGATAATACAATGCTATAAATGAAACTTTCAAAAGAAATAACAGATAACAATACGAAATATATGTATTGAATATAAAGAAAACTTCACACAATAAGACTATACTACTCTCAGACTGCCTCTTTACGTTCTTTTCCACCTCTTTTTATATGAGTCTACTGTCGTTTGCCATACACGGTTTAAACGAAAGAGATAAGAAGGATAGAAATAGCTCACTTTGAATCTATTAAATTTATTACAAAAGTACCGATATTTCTTTCTTGCAACTAATTCGAAAACATCAAATAGATATTAAATGTTGCAATAGGAGAAATCAAAGTTCAAGTATATAATTGTCATTTATTACCATTAGATGTATTGTATTGTCGTAAAGCTGATAAAGAATTCTCAATATCTCCTAATAAAATAAATGCTTGCTACAGATAGGTTTTATGGCAAATATATAAATCATAAATTTTCGTTCTTCAACATTACCATTTTAATCGTAAATTTTATCTATTATTACTGTTAATAAATGCTTCAGGTAGGCAAATGTTCGAACGAACATGTGAATGATGATTAAATTTCGATTTCATATTATAAAAAAGAAAATAAGTTTGGTTCGTATCGTTAAATCGTGTTTTTCTTGCAAAGCTATAGAGCAACGTGTACATCTCATACATTTTATATGTTTTTATAACTAGCGAAAATGAAATTCAGCCACAGTTTTGATCCTGACTATTTTATTTAAAATTTTTCATATCACATCTAGATAGGATGGTGTAAATATGGGTGTAGGTGTGTGATTGTAAGAGAAGAAGAGCCCTTAACACTCACATCCTCAAGATGGGCGTGGATGTTCCTTTATTACTCTCATCGACATACACCCAAAATATATTCCAAAATACAATTTATGTCAGATAAATTTTTTATTATCAAGATTGGGTTTAACTCTGTATGCAGTTCAATAATATGACAGTCAATAGATTGTTTTTTCATATGAACTGTTCGAAGACGTATACGAAATAATGGCTATAAGTTTCATTATCGATTGCACGGCTTAACCATATTGATAATATCATTTATATATGTTATGAGAGTCTGGTATATAATATTTGAAAATACGACACAAATTTCAGTGACGAATTCGTCGTTGCCAAGTTTTCAGTGATTCTTTTAGTGTTTTTAGGTACAATTCTGATGGAACAACAAATACAACAAAGACAAGTATCGATGGAGTAAATGAAATGAAATAAGCACAAAGATACAACCAAGGCTTATCAGATACCTTCACACATCCGGATAATAATGAAATGATCAAACGTGGCATTGCTAGAATAAGTAAAATTGCTGGACTAATTACTAATCGTTTATGTTCACGGAATTGTTCACGAATATGTGCCATGTAATTTTGATTCGTCTGAGCTGCTGATCGTCGTCGAGCAGTTCCGAAAATAATGAATAAAGCAGAAAAGAGATTAGCAATAAAAGGACCAATGAGATGAATGAAAAGAATAACTGTATTATAATCTTGGACAGTACGAGAGTAATTACTCACACACCATCTACGTATTTGTATTATCTTTGTTTTTTCTCTGTCGTCTTTTACTTGATATTCGAAGACATTGCGATGTAAAGGTTCATGAATGATTGTAGCTGAGATACAAAATGGTAAGATAAATATAATCCATCGAGCAAAACGTTTACTCCTTTCCTTATTAAAATTAACACCTTGATAAACATGAGTTGCTCGTTCAATAGCCACACAAGCATTAAGCCATGTATCAAAATAAAGAAAAAGTTTGAGAAGAGGTTCAATAGACTTACATCCACCTCGATGAACAGATGAATTCATTTGAGTGAGAAGAATAAACCAAAAATTGATTGTAAACATTGAAATTGTTAGAAGGGAAGTTATTGAAGATGATAAAAGATATATTCCACATCCAACTTTTCTTAAATTCTCATTTTGAAATGTTAAGAATGATAAAATACTATTGATTAAACCCAAAAGAAACATAATTATTGTTAAAGCAACACTTATTTTCACTAATAATGGTTGATTCTTCAATTTCACATTTTGGTTAATTTCATAACGTAAAATGTCGTCAAGAGTTATACCAATACCTTTAGTTTGAACATCACATGAACTACCGATAATACATTTATCGTGATTTTCAACTAAAGAAATAAAACAATGATTTCAACTTTGATTAACTAAAGTGAAATAACTATTTTATCTTTGTATATTTTCAAAATATTATTTTAGCCGATATGTAAAAACAAGTTCGATAAAGATATTTAGCCGTGTGGTCAATGCTAAGACAACTAATTCTCATTGTTTAAATGTGTGTTTTAGAAGACAAATATCACCTTATGAGCATAACAATAAAGACAAATCAATCAATATGTATTTAGACTAACACTACATCAATATTTCAGAAATATTAAAAGTTATTGAAAAAACTCTTTGTCTTGATCGAAAAATTTAACAGGCCAATGAACTAAACAAAGGATGAAAGTTCGATAATGAACTTTCAGAAACATTTTAATCGAAAGATGTTCAGTAATTTTATCTGATCAACAACTTCTTTATTTTCAACCTTCAGGACTCATGGAGTGGAGGCTCGTTTATCTACATATACTATTAAAAATGTAGAATAGACGCTGAGCCTGTTTGTTCTTCTTACATTGCAAACTTCTGTAGTAACCATGTTTTTCGATCAGAGAGTCTATAGAAAATCAATTCATGTCATCAAGGTAGGAAGATATGTGAGTCACTAGGGATGTACCGAGCCCGAGCCTTGACCGAGCCTCTCGGGCTCGGGGCTCGGTAGGCTCGGTCAGGCTCGGGCTCGTTAGGCTCGGGGGTCGGTCAAGGCTCGGGCTCGGTGGGCTCGGGGCTCGGTCAGGGCTCGGTAGGCTCGATCAGGCTCGGGCTCGGTCAGGCTCGGGGCTCGGTAGGCTCGGGGTCGGTCGGGCTCAGATGTAAGAAATTCACTCCTACATCCATCTGACACCGAGCCTTGACCGAGCCTCGAGTTGTGACCGAGCCTACCGAGCCCGAGCCCTGACCGAGCCCCGAGCCTACCGAGCCCGAGCCCTGACCG